ACTGATAACCATGCCAGTAGTATGTGTTAAGCTTACAGATGCTTAACAATCTGACAGACAGAAGAACAGTTCAAAAAAAAGTTTAACTACTATTGCTTTAATTTGAATTTCTAATAGGATCCTAATGTTAGATATAATTTTCTATATGAAATAACTATTTTATGTTTTCTTATATTAAATATCTGTCTTTTTTGTATTGGTTTAAATTTTGTTTTGTTTTTGACTTCTAGAAAACCTTAGTCATATTTTCTCTTTCTGTATTATTAATTACAAATAATTTTTCATCTTTCCTTTAATTTTTTTTCTGTACTGATTATTTCTAAAGTAACTGATTTGTATGGGTTCCAGTTTTGGGGTTGTAGTTATATTCAATTTCAAGATCATAAAGGTCCTCATGTTTTCCCCTTATATTAGTAAGGCTTCATATTTAACATATAAATATTTTACCTATTCATATTGGTTTATGGTTTCAGCTATAGACCCTTTTGTTTTGCCATTTGGCTATCCATTTTTCACAGCAGCATATACAAATTAGACATTTGTCTTCATGAACAAAACCACACATTTCTATCACATAGCTGCCAAGATTATTCATCCTGATTTTCTACTTTTTTCTTCTCTTCTTCATATAGATCAGAATTGCTTAAGTACATAAGCAATTACCAAGGTGTATGTGCATACACATTTATATTTATATATAAATAGAATTTTTAGAAGAATAAAAGTCAGAGCTACGTTCAACAGATAAAATTCATAGTACTGAATGAAGATAAGCTCATGGGGTTTTTGGCTTCATTATTCTTCAGGATATCCAATTCTTATGTAAACACTGCTTGGTATCTGGTAAAAATATCAATTATAAAAAACTTATTTCAAATCTGAGGTTTATTAATTCTAACACAGATGGGGAACTACATAAAGAAAGTGTATTCTCATATAAGCTGAAGTGCAAAGCAGTCTTGGGGACAGCATTTTGTCTGAAAAATTCTGAAGTTTTATGGAGTCGTGGTTAAAAACCATAAGAGCATCTGTGATTAATACCAGATGTTTTTTGAAACTGCTTCCTAAGAGGATTTTGCTGACCGAGGATTTTTTATTTGACTAGGTAGTAATGTGGGATAGGAGGAGTGATACAACATGGGTGAAGGAGAAAAAAAAAAGAAAGCATAGATATGCTTGATTGTCCAAGGTTATAAAGTAGGAAACTTGAGATAAAAATTGACTATCGAAAGCAAATTTCAAGTTCCTTAAATTGAATATACAAATATGATCTCTTTCTTAATTCTTCCTACAAAATTTTCAATCCAGATTATAAAAATAAATATAAAAGAGGCTTATTTTGTGACATTCGGACATATAATAAATATGAAGAGTTAAGTGAAACTAATCAAATAGTTTTGATGGGATCTGAAGTGCTGATGCAAACTATAGTAATATTGTTATTAATGGCTACGTCTACACAGAATCACTATATGCTATTCTAAGCATCTCCCTTATATTAACTCATTTATTTCTCAAGTGACCAAATAAGCAAGATACTCTTATTGCCCCCACTTTATAAGTGAGGAAGCTGAAGCACAAGATTCGACTTTCCCAAAGTTCTACAGCCAGTCTTGATCCAGCTGTGCAATAACAAAATGAAGAATAGCAACTTCATCACAAGGTTTGGTAGGCAGGGATCTCCTAAGGAGCACAGTCAAGATGCCCATTGCACACTGAAAAATACTTGTATGTTCAAGAATCACAAATAACTAATTAAAAATAGGTATAAACTGTCAGAAGCCATATTCAGTAGTTGTCAGTGTGATTCAGGATTGGGAGGAATAGGATCCAATCTTAATTAAAAGACAGAGAAGGCAGACAGACCACCAGCGTTCCAAAGCTATAGGCCCACTAACAGATACTGGCTAATCAAAGAATTTTATAGATAGAGGTCTACCCATTCAGGATAGGCTGACACTAGGGAAAAAAGCAATGTTTAAATTCATCAGTGGGGCAGGGATTGATGATTCTTAGCAAAGAACTAGCAATCTATAGATTCAGGAAAGGGGAAGAAGCTTGGACACCAGCAGCCTCTTCTGAGCACTAGAGCTACATATTTCCCTGTCCAGCATGTTAGCCACCAACTACATGGAGCTGAACTGACAATTCAGTTCCTCAATCACACGAGGCACATTTCAAGTGCTAGATATAGCAAACATGGCTATGGCTGCTGTATTAGACAGCACTGCTAAAATATAACGACTTTATCAGAAATCCTCCTTGTTGAATATAGGATTAATCTATTGATTTAATTCAGTTTTTTATCAAGAATTGACTACAATCTAGAGGTGCACAGTAAAAATACCCATGAGAAATTTAGGAACGTAGAGTCAGCAAAGAAAAAAGCAAAGAGTGATAGCCTACATTGCAAATTGAAGCCATAAACTTTCTTCTCTAAACTAATAGTTCATCGCTTTCCTTACATTGATCCTGACTACCCACTAATTCTTTGTCTTGTTTTAACCAAAAGTATGAACTACTATGATTTCTTAAACCTTAAATACAACTTTTGCTCTGATTGTTAAAATAAAATTGTTAGACTGCAAAGTAGAGTTTTAAAAAGTGAAATAAGAAATATAAATACAATAAAAATCCTATAAAACTCTATAATGTTGTATAGCCATTATGTTCTTATTCTTGTAAAGAAATATGAAAAATAAATTGTGAATCTATCTAGGTCAGATTGAAGGAAGAGCCCACTTATTGCAATTTAGGTTAACTATCACTATTGCATAGCCTTCCCTCCTTAGATCTAGCTAGCACTTCTCATCTCTCTTTTCTGTCACTCTTGGGCTGTGAGAAATGGCTGAAGAGCTCATCCAATGAACTTCATATTCCACAAAAAATATTAACAGGAACAAGACTTTATCTTGGTCTTTTTATTTCTGTTAGCTGGACAATGCCTTAGCCACAAAATTGAAATCTTAAAAAAATGAAATCCAAGTATAAAATTGTTTATCAGTGAAAATTAACTCTATCTTGCATTTCTTCCACATAAATGTGCATGCTTCATAGTTAAAAATAGCCATGAGGAATTACAGAAAAAAATGCAAAATCTATAGTATGAATCATCTTGCCATTTAGCAGGAGTAGTCATGATGATTTGAAATATTCATCCAGAATGCTAAACACTGAGATAGATCATCTTTGCTGAGCAGTGTGGTCCAGTGCAGGATACTTTAAACATTATAAATATCCATTTCCATTGCTGAAAAATGGAGATAACACTAGTAATTTTCACTAAGACTAGAATTTTTTGAGATTTTTTTTAATTGGGGAGCTCTTCCAAATAATTGTTAATGTCTTGTAACCACAAGTGCTCTTCAGGGCTGCAATAAAATGAGAAAAAGTAGAAGCACAGATTAAACACATCACTCATCAGTTTTATTTCAAAGGTACCTAAACGAATTCAGATAAGATAATGTTTAAAACTCTTGAAATATGTGACTTCTGTTGCTTCTAGCCCCTTTTTAATTAATGTTAGTAAAATGAAATTTTATGTGATGAAAAGACAATGCTAGTTAAAATTTAAAGGAGAAATGGTCTCTGAAACAAATCTTGTTTAAAATGAAATATCCATACACTAATACACAACTATTTAATACACAAAATATTCCTTGACAACAAAGTTGTAACCCAAGCTTGAGAAATATTCAGTCATAATAGAAAACTAAACCAGATATAAAAAAATAAAATTTTACATAGTAATATAATTGGATTTAAATTACAATTTGAAATGGCTAAATATATCTGTTATTATAATTTAAATGAATAAGATGTATGAGGTCTAGACATTAAAATTGAAGTGAACACTCTAAAAATGCCCAGTTTTCCTCTATGTATGGAGTTTCAACTTTATCCTAGTACTAGCTTTTGAAATAGGAAATTCTATATTTATGTCAAAAATTTCAGAGCAGTAAGAGACACAAACTTAAGCAGGATACTATTATAGTAAAGTTTACTTGTTCCTGAGCTGAAAATCCCAAATATGTCTCTCTTATTATGATACTTTTACTGTAACTATGATAATTATAATTTTGTAACCATATAAAATGTGTTTCACTGCTTAGCAATTAATGCTGTCAATCAAAGGAATGCGTACGTGCTAGCAGACAATGCCCAGTTGAGTTTCCTGCACTGGATGGAAGGTAGGCATTTCTAATTTGCACCTAGTTACATTGTTCTATAAATTATCTGAATGTTACCTCTCATCCCTCCTTTGTTAGTCCCTATATAAATTTCTAATTTCTAATTTATTACTCTTTTTCTGTTTTCTTTATCCTTCACATGCATAAATTTCTTCATTAGAAAACATTACAGTAAGTGTGTCATTGGTCTTATATCTGGCCATAAGCACCTTCTTGCATAAAACAATTTTGGAAACCAGACAGCATAGGAAATTTGAGACCATTTTTTTTCTAAAAACAAAACAAAAGAAAATGTAAGTAAAGGATGCCAAATGAAAAAATAAACATTTTCAAGCTTTCTAGTTTTGGATACATATAATATTGATATAACAAGCAAAATACATATTTTGAAGAAAATAAGCATTTTAGAAGTCAAAGACAGTAAAATGGTTTACTGACAAATTATCATGTGCTGACCAGCTGGCTGAAATATAATCCGTGGTACCCAGACATTTGGCAGTTATCCTGTGGATAGAATTACTGTCATCACATACAACTTGTCTTCTTGTGTATTGACTTGTATGGCCCATATCTCAAATCAATCAATAACAACATGTTAAGAGAAAGAAGTTAATCAGAAAAGAATTTTTAAAGAACTCTCTCAAAGTAGAAAAATAATCATTTTTGTGATTGAATATATATTGCATAATGCCTTTTTTTCTTTATGGCATTGGATTACAGAGGAAATTTTATTTATTTTTCATTATTTCTCAGAGATAGGTTCTCACTTAATTGTACGGGCTATGGCACAGTAGTGTGATCATGACTCACTGTAACCTTGAGCTCCTGTCCTCAAGCAATCCTCCCATCTCAGCATCGCAAAGCACTGGGATTATACGCATAAGCCATTCTGCCCAGCCTAGAAAGAAAATTTCAGAATAATTGTGTGCTAACATACCCCCAAGTTCTTAAATAAGGACTTAGTTAATTGTCAAACTGGTGAGATTCAAACTTATTAATCTCAGGAGTAGATATCACCAAGAAAAATTGTCACAAGGAAAAAATGTACAAAATGATGGCACAGACCACTAAAAATTGATTTAAGCAATATCCTGTGTCATCTGTTACCACTTATAACTGGGGAAGTAGTATAAATTTAGTAGCTTTAAATATGATTTTATTAGCTATTCTTACAGTATTTTAAGTTAAAGATACAACATCACTCATAAAATTTAGCAACTTCCCATGAGAGCAAGTTCTTATTGTAATTTTTACTCCCTCGTGTCTCACCTACACTTGATTTGCAAACACTTGTAAGGAAAGTTTAATTTTGTAGTTATGTTTCTGGGAATAAGAGAAGGTGAAATAGAGGATATATATTGAATGTTTATAACACTTGAGACTATTAAGTAGGAAATGGGGGGTGAGGACAAGAGACAGAAAACACTGCAATTCATACTGTGAATTCGATGATTGTAACCCAATATAAATCTATTTCTGGTATTTAATGTGTATTGATCAAGCTATCTCTCTCTTATATGAGAGGTTTTTCATTTACAAAAAACTATTTCATTTTATATAAGTTCATCTTATTATTTAATATTTTTCTCCTGAAACTAGCAACTCTTACCATGTTTTCTAATTCCAAGTCTATAAATACGTGTTCCCCTTCGGGAGACCAGGTTGCAGAGCGCAGAAGAATAAATTCACTGCCAACTTATCCCTAGGTTATCAACGCACAACTAAGTATGGGCTGCCAGGAAACGCTGGCAAAGGAAGACTGAGATAAGTCTCACAAGCAGCTGCTTTACATATGAGTAATGTCTTCACGAAGGAAAATGTGATTCCATTCAAGGTAATCCTCCCTTATTCTTATTTTTTTCTAATAACTAAATCTTGGTAGGCACTCTTTCCTCTCTGTTCTTACACAAAGGGTTCGTAGTAAATACAGAAGTTAGAAGACTTATTTCCCTCTAAACACCAATGCAAACAATTCACCTCCGATCGGGTCTTAGAGTCCTTTGAGGCTCTTTCTCTATCTCAAAGTCCTTTTTGGTGAGCTGTGACCTTCTGGTTGGCCTTTCTGTTAAACACCGACCTACTGACAGTAAAGGATGCAAGTGAGTCCTCTCTGACAAGGAAGTGTAAACAAACACCTATCTGAACTCTGAACATTCTTCTCACCACTATTCGGATGAATCATGAAATACTGACTCTACTCTCAACAACACAGAGGTTTGGCTACACTCCTTGGCCTACATGTTAGAAAAATAATGTTAGTCACCTCTCATGTTTCTATGCATAAGATTAAACTGCATGTAAACAGTTTCCACAGTTCTTAAGTAGATAATAAATGCTACTTATTTTTAGTTGTAGTGGTGGTAAACCACCCTTATGATTTGTATGTCTAATCAAAGTACAATTTCATACGATGTGTGAAACCACTCTAACTCATAAATGCAATGCAAAGAAGGTGGTTGGCAATGTCAGTGATGGGTATATTGTGCTGTGCCAACTTGGTTAAGCTGGGAACGATGGTTGCAGAATTTGAATTCCCTTCCTTGTGTTGTGCAGGTTAGAGTTAGTCAATTGTGGAATTTTCACAAAATTTAGAAAGCAGAAGGGAAACAGTTGTCAGCACTCCCTGAAGATCGTTTCACAGACCGATGTGATGATAAACAGCTGCAAGATGCCTCGTGGGTTCCAAGTAGTTTACACTCTCCTCTACTGCATGTACAGCTGATTTTCCTGATTGGTGGCCCTGTTGACCAACTGCAAATCCAGGCCCACAATAGATGCTTGGCTGTGGACCCAGCCATATTTTGTTAATTATCTTCTTATTTTGCTTTAATGACAAATCTTGTTTGCACTTGTTTTATCTCCATTTCCTTTTATATCTGTACTATTTAAAATTTTACAGTTGGTTATAGTCCTATCATATACCAAAATATATCTGTCTCTCTAGTTTACAGGTTCTTAAGTTCCAGGGTACAAAATAATCCCTTATTTTTTTAATGGATATCCTTAAACCACATACCCCAGAAATTCTAATTTAATAATCCCAAATTAGAAGGAAGGGATTTGAATATGTATAAGCATTCCTAAATTATTCTGATGTAGGTGGTTAGGAGCAATGTCATGAATAACTACCAAATGTGAAGGAGACATCTCAGCTCTTATTCACATTTGACCTTTCTACAATATTTGATGCTCTTAATGATCCTCGCTTGAAATTTCATGTTCCCAGAGGCTCAGGCCCAGGCCCCTGAATAAAGCTGGCCCTGTTATCTGTGAGTTCATAAAAGAGAGCTACAGACACCACCTACCCTAAGTTTTTGCTTGCTGCTCGGTCTGAAGCTTCAGCAGCCCCCACCCCTTCTCTTGTCAATGTCGTTCATCGAATACTCTTCTCTTTTCAGCCCTCTGCTGAAATAAGTAGTACAAATAATGATAAGTAGTTAATGAATGCTTTTAATCAGTGCTAAGCACACATATTAACTTCTATAATAACCCCTTATGTCAGGCTTTCTCTCATTGCAAATTTTTCTTGGTTTAGGTTTATTGTTGTTCTGTTTTTTTCCCACAAGTTACTGTCAAAGGTGCCTAGAGCAACCTTCCCCACATTCTACTCCTGCCACTAGGGTCACCTTCTCTGTGATGTTTTTTCTGAAGGCCTCCACTACTGAAGGCTCCTCTCTCTGCACTCCACATCACCTAACACGATTCTCTTATTTTCTTATTTGTCACCACTGCTAATCAGCGCACTTCTTCATTATAGGGATTATGTGTATTAGCCATAGGGCCTATCATAAAGCCTAGCTAAATGACTTTATTCTTAGTTATTTGGCCCTACTTTTAATTATTTATTTATTTAACTCTTCAACCCTTCTAGCAGGATATTGTACATTATTTCACAAAATGTAGGCCTTGAACTACTTACATTCAAATCACCCATGAGGGTTGTTAACAAGATAGATTTATATGCTTCTTTTACTACAGCAGTATTTTGAACCCAGGAATATTCATTTTGACAAGCATTCTGGGTGTTTCTTATGAAGACCAAAATTTGAAAAATATTGCTTGAACAAGAAGAGTTCTTACTGAGATGAAGACAACTATCTTTTACTAGTGACAATACCAGTGCCTAGATTATGTTTCATGAACAAATATTTTAATAAGATGAGATTTTAGTTTCAATTAGGAACAAGGGATTAGAAACAAGTTGTCTACAATATCTCTTCAATCTCTAAAGGATTTATTTTGTGTTGGTAAGTTGAAAGAACTAGTACTATATGTGCAAGTAAATTTGCTTCTGACCCATATGCGATTAGTGTCTATTTTTTGTACCTCATAGGAATGAATAACAATAATTCCGAATCATGCAAGGGTGCAAAAATATATAAGTGCAATAAATCCAAGATTGGAGCTATAGCTATGACAATTAAAATTAGGCAGAGAAAAACAGTAATGGCTGTTTGAACTTGGCCAAAGTATCTTTATTTAACTACGCATTCTAAATAGTTCACGGAAAATGAAATATACATATATATTTAAAGAGAATGATCCATGAGCCACATGCATCAGAATCACTTGAGGTTCTGATTAATACTGTAGTTTCCCAAGTCACACCCAATACTTAACTGAATTGGAATGTTCAGCCAACAATCAGTATCTTTAGAAGCACTCCAGGAGAGTTATTCATCTATCATTTCAGAACCCCTGATATATTTAAGCGGTTGAAATATACATGAATAACAGACAAACTGTTCCCCATGTCTACAATAAAGGGATAACTTTAAAATCCTCTGCAAGCCAGTCTTTTAAACATGCATAGAAAATGCTGGGACAATCACGTAGACTACAACAGCATGTTTTCTAATGTTAGTAACTGTAAATTCAGGTTTGTGAACCAGGATACAATTGTAAATCATCACATAACTACTGTTTGCAAATATTCAAACATTTTGATTCAGCACAGTTTGGGGTTGAAATAGAAGCACTGACTAAGATATAAGAGTTAGTCATATGACTGGATGCGGTGGTTCACACCTGTAATCCGAGAACTTTGAGAGGCCAAGGTGGGTGGATAACCTGAGGTCAAGAGTTCAAGACCAAACAGGCTAACATGGTGAAACCTCCTCATTATTAAAAACACAAAAATTATCTGGGCATGGTGGCGGGTGCCTGTAATCTCAGCTACTCAGGAGGCTGAGGCAGGAGAATCCTTTGAACATAGTAAGCAGATGTTGCAGTGAGCCAAAATCATGCCATTGCATTTCAGCCTGGGAACCAGGGAGAAACTCCATCTCAAAAACAAAAACAAAAACAAAAACCCATTATCAGAGTTAACGGGCAACCTACAGAAAGGGAGAATCTATTTCCCTTTCTTAAATCTATCTATCTAACAAAGGGCTAATATCCAGAATCTACAAAGAACTTAAGGAAATTTACAAAAAAAAAAAAGGAAGAAAGAAAAAAAGTGGGTAAAGGATATGAACAGACATTTCTCAAAAGAAGGCATTCATACAGCCAACAAACATATGAAAAAAAAGCTCATCATCACTGGTCATTAGAGTAATGCAAATCAAAACCACAATGAGATACCATCTCATGCCAGTTAGAATGGTGATCATTAAAAAGTCAGGAAATGACAGATGCTGGAGTGGATGTGGAAAAATAGGAACGCTTTTACACTGTTGGTGGGAAAGTAAAGTTACTTCAACCATTGTGGAAGACAGTGTGGTGATTCCTCAAGGATCTAGAACTAGAAATACCATTTGACCCAGCAATCCCATTACTGGGTATATACCCAAAGGATTATAAATCATTCTACTCTAAAGACACATGCACACATATGTTTATTGCAGCACTATTCACGATAGCAAATATTTGGAACCAACTCAAATGCCCATCAATGATAGACTGGATAAAGAAAATGTGGCACATATACACCATGGAATACTATGCAGCCTTAAAAAAGGATGAGTTCATGTCCTTTGCAGGGACATGTATGAAGCTGGAAACCATCATTCTCACCAAACTAGCACAGGAACAGAAAACCAAACACCACATGTTCTCAATCGTTAGTGGGAGTTGAATAATGAGAACACACAGACACAAGGAGGGGAACATCTCACACTGGGGCCTGCTGGGGCGTGGGGGGCTAGGGGAAGGATAGCATTAGGAGAAATACCTAGTGTAGATGATGGGTGCAGCATCATCTACACTAGGTGCACCAAACCACTATGGCACATGTATACCTATGTAACAAACCTGCAGGTTCTCAACATGTACCCCAGAACTTAAAGTATTATAATAATAATAATTACATAATAAAAATATATAAAAAAGAGTTGGTTGTAATAGAGTTGAAGGAAATTTTAGGGGCTAAGAAAAAAAGAAAACACTGTAGCATACAGAGAGGCAGGCAGGAAAAGAGAACAATTAAAGAATGAGATAATGTGTTAAGTAAGTGAAACTGAAGTTTTGATAAATTAGATAAATCAGCTTTGATCCTCAGATCTATTATTAGGAATCACCGATTTAGTTAATAAAAATTACACATATTAAAATATAACGACCATTGATACATCATATCCAAGGTCATAGTTAATATTAACTAATAGTAAACATAGTTTCGCTTCTTCAAGAAGAAAAATAATCAGTGAGAAAAATTTTATATGACCTTATTTAGGAAAATACGCCTAAAATTTCAAAGTAGATGTAATTTAACATTTTAATAGGATAATTGCATATCATTGACTATATAGGTAAAACTTTTATGAAGTGCATTATGTTTTTCTTATTTACATATGAGAAAATTTGATATATTAGAAATAAATGTTATGCTACAGATGGAAAGAAAAATAACTTGAAGAATATATTACAAGTTCATAGAGGTTACTTTCAAGAAAGTGAGAAGTGAATGCCTGAATCATCAATGAGTTATTATTCACCTCTTTCCTTGGACAAAGTTCCATGTAGTAATTAAGTCATGATTAAACGAAGATGGTATAAGTGCCAATCACACACTGATCAGGAATGTATCAAGTAAAATTATAGCTTAATTTTCCCTTTACAATCCCATGAATAAAAATGCCAGTCCCTCTTCATTGGAAAATTAGTCTGGTGTTTTTCCAAGGTCAATCTTTCCTAACAAATGTGTTTCCAATACCTTGTTGAAATAACGAATACAAAAGCTATTGTCTCCATTGAGACCAAAATGATTTACTGATTCCTGTAACATGACTTACGCTGTCAGCATGTGACCTTCAAAAAAATCATAATATTTTAGCTATAAGATTTAAGAAAATTTTTTCATTCCTTTAATTACTCATAAGGTATCTTTAAATGTTTGATTAATTAGAGCTTTGTAAACAAGTAGAATACACAGGATTTAACAATAAAGACTTGAAAAAATGTTGATAAAGGTCAGATGTTTGTTTTTTTTTTCCTTTTTTCTCCCAAGCTGGTTTTCAACAAGCTCTTTTACCTTATTGAAGCAATTCCTAATTCCAGTCTCTATGCGAGAGAAAGCAAGAATATTCCTTATGCCAAATATATTTAAGGTTCACCAACAATTCCATAGAATGCCTTTGTCAAAGGAGATGAATTGAGAAGAAGGTTTATTAAATAATTTCATGCCTTTAATAAGAAAGCTTTTAAAAATGACTATGGGTATATATGTAAGTTTGGTTTTATTATATCATCGCAAAGGTGTCTAACAAGTCATAAGTCCTTAAATACTTTAAATGGCTTTGAATATTTCTCACATATTATAAGGTGCATATAAAATCAAAAGGTTTTAAGATGCATTTTTTTTTTTGGTTAGAAAGAAATTTTCCAAATTACCTTATGAGCTTCCTATCAAATGCAATAACTATTTTCGTAGAGACTAATTTTAAAATGTTGCCTTCCTGATGTCCTTCTGAGATGGGTCAGAGCAGAGTATTAATTCCAGTGACAACCATGGGAATCTTCCACTCCCTTTTACATCATTCAAGATAAAACCAAAATGGACAGTATAAATATACAGGTGTCCTCCAAACTCTTATTAAGAACAGGATGTTAAAATCATCCTGAGTCCATCTTGTGGGTAAAATTAAATAAAAACATAGCCCCACTTACCTATAAAACATTTATAAATAGATATAGAAGCTGAAACATCAACTTTTTTTCTGCTAATTAGGAAAATCCTTTTACCTAAATGGTCAATGTTTCATATTGCAAAATATGTAGATCAGAAACATAGAAGAAAGATACAGACGAGAGGCTGGAAAACAAAGTTGTATTTCATTTCTTTTGCTTGTAAACAAATGATCCTGTGACTTAGTCTCTCTTGGCCTCAATTCCCTTTTCTATAAATTAGGAATAATAATATCTGACTAAGAAACATAACAATTGAGGATAAGGGTTTTTATGTTAAA